CTCATATTACCAAATGTACTCCAAAAGAATACAGTTCGACAAGGGCTTTGTGACTGCGCCACTACCGCTAAAAGACAACGTCACCGATCTCGCTGATAACTATTCAGTTGCCTTTCGCAGACTCATTTCACTGTGGAAACATCTGCAAGCCAACAAAGAACAACTGAAATGGTACACGCAAACCTTTCAAGACTACATAAGCACTAGTGTAGTTGAGTACGCAAATGAGCAGAGTACTGACAGCATCAGCCGTTACTACATGCCACACTCAGGGGTATGGCGCCCCACTAAGCCTAAAACCGCTTCGAGTAGTATTTGATGCATCTTCTGAGCGATGCGGTCAGCTTTCACTGAATGACGTCATTTATACCGGAGAATCATTCGTGAACAAAATTCACGACATTCTAATCGCAAGTCGAACCGGAAAAATGCTATGCGATATTCAAGCAGCATTCACGCAAATAAGACTGCAAGACGAACACAAAGATCTTTGCAGATTCTTATGGTTCAAAAGACGCAAAGCAAGCCACCAACACGTGACAATATTGAGGAGTACCGCTTCACACGTCTTCCCTTTGGCTTAACGGCATCACCCAGCCTTCTTAACATGGTGATCTAAGCATATCTGAACCATAAAAACACAGATATAGCAAAAGAAATCATGGAACATTTGTATGTGGATAATATCCTACTTCGTGCGAATACAGTTGAAGAAGCACTGCACAAAATGTCCCGTTCTGTTTGGGAATACGGTATAGGTTCAGTGGTGTTGTAATATTTATTGGCGATTCATCAACGTAACTTAGATCGTATGAATAAGCGCCCCGTATCATTGGCGCATGGGTTTATATAGGGCCCAATGATACGGGGAACACAATAACAAACCATATGGCAAATAATGCAATCTAAAGGATTGTTATCTGGAGGTCGCGCGGAGCGAGACACTCCGCGCGCCCCCTTACATTTAAGCTTTCAGGAGACAAATCAAGTTCAACAATTTGACTACTTTGATTTCATTACATAGGTTGGGCTTATAAATGTCATGAAGCATGAACTAGAGAGAAATTACACATGAATATAAACAAACAAATACACATACTAAGGCCAATGATGGAACGGAGCTGGTTGAGTCCTTCGTTGGTGGAGTCGAATCGGTTGTAGAGCATCTAATTCTTTCTTCTTTTGGCAGGAATATTACCATGGTGCCCTCTAGATGGGCAGAGTAGAAAATTGTGAGGCATCCTGCAGTTCTGGCACAAGACGCCACAGTCACTTTGGTGTGCACTTTTTAGGCATCTTGTCCACAGACCCAAATTAGATGCTTGGAGGGCCTTCGAAACAGCGTCTGGTAAGCGTGGGCATCTACCAGAATTGTGCGAGTCGACGTTGTCCGTTACAGTACAGGAATACACACTGTGATTTGGGTGCGGACCTGTCGACTAGCAGCTGTAGAGCTGCCTCCAAACCGTCGAGTCGACTGGCGGAGAAAGCCACAACATTGAATAGAGACTCGATCTTGTTGGAGAAAACAGAGTAGTGAGCCCTGACCCCACAGCGACCGATGAATCAATCGATGTAGCAAGAAAGTGCCGAGTAATTAAGGCACCCACCATATCATTACCAAAATTCCATGGAAATCAGGAAGAATTCTCTGAGTTCTGGGCGATTTTCGAAACACTTGTGCACAATAGCACTGAGATCAGCCAAATAGAAAAGATTGTCCTTCTTAAGGAGAGTCTCAAGGGACCGGCTGAGAAAGTCATAAGAGGCATACAACCGGTACCCAAAAATTACCCGTGGATGGTAGAAACCATCACAAAGAGATACTCATACCAGCCAATAAATCCGAATAGTTCAAAACTTTCGAAATCTAAAAACCAGCATCTAAAAAAACGAAAGCTATGACTCGTCAACTCTTCGTTAACAAAACAATGTTTTCCCGCGGGGTAAGACATCAGACATACTTTGACTACCAATTGTCCAAGACTAATTGAAAATTTCATACAGCTCGTCAAAAATCGATTCTGTAAACATCAGAAATGAACTCGAAATCGATATCTCTAGAGCCTTGACAGAGAATTATCCCAAGGAACCACGTTGAGTTACGACTCCCAGGGAGAGTAACCTTGGCATGCAACGTCCCGTCCACCAAACAAAATGCATATTTTGTAATAGGACTAACCATACCGCTCTTTACTGTAGATCGGTGACCGACCGCCAAAGGCGTCGGGAAATTCTGAAAGAAAATAAATGCTGCTGGAAAACGTTTCATTGAACACCACTCCATCGCAATTTTGGTGGGAGCAGCTTTTCTTCGAACTTTTTTGTAATTATTTTTCGATTTTTGCACCGTTTCATAATATAAGGTCACCCTGAGGAAAAGAACAATTACCTAAGATTAATGACAGATAAAATAGACATAATAATGTATGGTTACTCCTTTATCAAGGGCAACATTGAATAGTCTCCGTGGCCTACCGGAATTGAGATTCCAAGGCAGATCACCATCGATTCACTTCCGTGTTCAAGGGTTGCTTGTACACGCTCTTGTGTAATTTTTAACTGGCGTTTATCCGCACTATTACTCATGACGAAGATGCCCCTGAGATGTTCTACTAGAACACGACTAGAAATTCAGAAAAATTGTTCAGTTCATCAGGGTTTCGAGAGAAATGCTGCTTCTGGTTGAATGACCTACATGGGTACCTGTACTGTTCTGTATGACCACGTAGGCTAGCCGACTTCATCAGCTCAAGGAAGAGGTCAAATGTCCTCGCAAGGCTCTATGCTAATCTTTGGAGTCCATTATGCAGTTTATGGAAGCGAAATTTTGACACAACATCATCACAAAAAGCACCCACACCTTTCACATTTCCTTAACTAAAATTGCAAGCGCTGAAGTGAATCGGCCACCTTCGCAAGTCACTTCAAAAGTGTTTATATTCGCAGGATCTGTTTGTATAAACCAGTTTTGTCCAAAAAATACCAACTTTACTGGAATTATCTTGCTATATGGTGCGACTGTGGAGCAGACTCAACCTGTTCAAACTCACTTCAAGTTCAACCTACGGTAAAATTGCCGCATATGGGCAATGGCCGCTGAGCTTCCACCATCTCTGTGCTTTCCTTGTTAAATGTGTTGATTAATGTCACGCACTCCATCTCATATTTTCAGATAAGAAATTAAATAGCACGACGCCGATTTGATCCGAAATACTTGCCTATCCGCCCATAACTCTTCTTAATCGTTATAAATCAATTTTTGGAATGTTCTGGATATAGTAAATATTTTTAATCTAAGACTTTTCCAATTATTACGACATGCTAATGAGTAGTCGAGTTTTGAAGACTCGCGAACCGTGCCAAGCACCATGAAATGACTTCAAACTTCACCTTTTCTTCAAAAGGCGAGTACGAAACATTCCATAAATTTAGTTACTGGGTGTGTTTGTAACAAACATTCAATTTCACAGGCAGGTTGGTTGTTTCCGATAATGTAGTATTCATTTTCACAGGGTGACCTTATATTATGAAACGGTGCAAAAATCGAAAAATAATTACAAAAAAGTTCGAAGAAAAGCTTGCTCCACCCAAAATTGCGATACAGGGGTTATTCGTTGGGAATCATTTGGTTATAAAGGAAAAATCGCCAGTTGACTGCTGGTCCCTTAAATGCAATATTATAGGTGACCTTAATAGTTATGAAACTCACTTATTTTGGTAGGGTCGACGCATTATACGATCTTGTCATTCCGAAAATCAATTCGCGAACTTCAACTCCCTCCGGTCTAAACACTCGCAAAACACCTCGGAACCGCATGTATTGCTTGAGTCATAGAGTCGACCGATATCATGAAAGTTTCACATGCCATGACTTCTATATTCGAAACATCAGATAATCATGGTGAAAACATTCAAAGAATGTTCGAATTAGAAGGCCTTGGGCATTGAAGCAGTCGAAAACAAGAAAGAGGAGAACACTCTCTTGTACTTCCAAGAGTACTCCAAGAAAATAACCTTTGCGAATGGTTGCATAACGGCGCCCTTTCCCCTCAAGGATAATATTAGTTGACCTAAACGACAACTATGCGATCGCGATCAGAAGGTTAGCCGCGTTGCAAAAACACCTCTTGGCAAACAATAGCCAGCAGAAGTGGTACCACCAGATACTCAACGAGTACGAAAACCACGGGGTTATTGAAAGAGTGCAAGATACCGAAGCAAATAGCGTAGTACTGTATTATATGCCTCATTCAGGGGTCTGGCGAGAAGCCAAGAAAACACTTTTAAAAGTAGTCTTCGATGCTTCCTCAAAAAAGAAAGGCGAATTTTCTCTAAATGATACCATTCATAAGGGCGAATCGTTCGTTAACAAAATCCATAGCATTCTAATCGCGAGCAGATCGAGTAAGTTCGTTCTTCTCTGCGATATTGAAGCGGCGTTCACTCAGATCCGCATTCCTAGCCATCACAAAGACTTATGTCGATTCTTGTGGACTAAGAATATGGACTTGCCCCTCACAAAAAGGAATATAGTTGAATACCGATTCACTAGATTACCGTTTGGGGTAACCGCCTCTCCGAGCATTCTAAACATGGCCATCCTAGCATATTTGGAATCGCTCAAAACAGACCTTGCTACCGAAATCGCGAAAAACATCTATGTTGACAACATATTGTTAGTCGCAGATTCAGAAGAGGAGGTGCTGCAGAAATACAGAGATTCAAAGGAACTCTTTTCCAAAATTGGAATGAATCTGCGAGAGTATATCTCGAACTCAGCACTCGTCAATTCCAAAATACCAGCAGAATAGCTTAGGGAAATTTTATGTTCTAATTTTGATTGGAACGGCCGATTCTTCACGAAACATCCAAAAAATGGGTGAGTAAGTGTAGGGAAATCGATAATACCGTGACTACCATTCCGCGCGTCATAATGCCAGCCTTGGATAGTGATGGTGGAACCACCGCTCACCTCTGGGTATTTGCAGACGCAAGCAGATAGCCAAAAGCATTTGCATAAATAAATGACAATAACAAAATAACCGGTATCCCAAATCATTTGTGGGAAATCTCGTCTAAGCCCGAAAAAGAACGAGCAAACAGTACCTTGTTTTGACTTCAGTATATCGATCGCTCTCAGACTAGCGTGTTTGTTGTACTAAGCAATCAGTATTAAGGTAGAGACAGTTTACATAGTGACCGACAGCGAAGTTGCGCTGTGCTGGATAAAATCATCTCGCAAGCTGCCGGTTTTTGTCTCCAACCAATGTGTCCGAATTCACAAACTCAGATCTCAAATAGAATCTGAGAATGTGACCGTTCAATTTTTCCACGTTCCTCACCTCCTACAAACCAGCCGATGCTGGCACGAGAGGGCTATCTAAGGAACAAATCATCAACAGCGACTGGGTTAAAGGTCCACGTTGGTTAGAAGCACTACCCAAACCCAGCTTTCTACGGCCTATCAACGTTGTTCAAACAACGGAGCCAGCCGAATCTGCCAACACGGTTACTTATCCACTACCCGCAAACGCAAAGCCATTTTCACTGGCCCGTCTTTTAACACGTTGACGACATCGCGCGTTTTGGCATTTTTGGCCGCGTGGGACCAGAGCGGTTCTGCGAGCGCCGCCGCCTCACAACAAATCTGTGGATTTTGAGCTTTAAATACGCAATACTTCGATGCGACAAAATGTTTTCACTGATATTCGTGTGTGTCAAACTTATTGGAAGGTACACATGTGAAAGTGCGGTCGAATGATGTGTTACAGCATTGAAAAGGCAAGTTTCACTTACTTTTGCTTTAGTGATTTCAAAATTATTTTGGACGTGGTTGTTTCGGTAAAAACACATATCTTGCCACACGAGTAGCTTTGTACTCACTTCTAATATCTTTTTTATCTACATGTTCATATTAATGAAGAGAAAACTACATGTTCGTGTTAATGAAGAGAAAATGAGGAATGAACTGAACGGATATTTTCGTCCGGTCCGAAAAACCTCTGCCAAACTAAAGAATATTTGGTCATTCTATAAGCCGCGTGGTTCTTGGTTATGTTGTGGTATGGCCTAAAAATGAACACAAAAAACCTGGGAAGAAATGGCGCGTTCAAGAAAAAACTGAATGTAAAGGGTGTGGCAACTATAGTTGCCACAATGTCCATTGCGGCGTGCAAAACGCGGCAAACCTAGTTGCCGCGCTGTCGTCAAGGTGTTAAACTTTCGCGTTTTTCCAAAATGTCAACTGCTTCTGCGCACTGTTGCGAGAGTTGGCAAATTCCTTTGCTACCTCGTATCGCGAGCGAACAAGAAAAGAAGCACGCCCCATACAATTGGGAAATAAATTAAGCTTCTCATTAGACTTTGAGATCACAGCTAAAAGGACTTGCCTATGGCTCAAAATTAACCGTCCATACAGAATGTCCACAAAACCTTGTGTAAATGAACTAAGGTCAGACAATTAAATATGCTAGTAAGGCGTGATAAAGACGGCATCATTAGACATATTTCACGCTTGCAAAATGCATGCATCCCTACCGATGCTAAATCACCCATATTTCTGCCAAGCAGAGGTGATATTACGAGACTAGTTCTCACCAATATCCACCACAAACACTTCCACTGTGGAAAAGACCAAACGTTATCTCTTGTAAGGCAGAGATACTGGTTACCCCGGGCATCTGGCTCATTTAAGACCTACTTGCGAGACTGCGCGGTCTGTAAAAGATGGCAGGGACTGCCATTCGGCTCCCCAAATATGCCACCTCTACCTACAGATAGAGTGGTGATTACAAAACCATTCCGCAATATTGGTTGTGACTTTATTGGTCCATTTTTCACGAAATCGGACGAAAACATGTACATTTGCTTGTACACCTGTTTAACAACTAGGGCAGTCC